GGTGTGTGTCATCAAAGTACTGCGAGAGCTATAAGAGAGCGTGGACGTCTCCTTATGCTTTCTCTCGACGTACTTTGATGTCACACCGATCGATCTTCAAGTCGAACACACCTCTTTACTCTCGCGTGTCACGTGACCGAGTGTAATCGCAGCCTCTGCGATTGAAAAATCGCGTTTTTTCATATCGCGATATTATCGCAAATGCAATTAATCGTTCAGCCCTATTTTTATAGTATTTTGATTAAATACACACAGCCTTGGTGATAATGAGGCTTTTTTCCAATGTAGAATAATGTAGAAATGTACTGTAAAAAAAAAAAAAAAAAACACTACTCCGTAGTTCTGTGTAGGTAAAGCAAACCATTTGCATTTACACTTGCATAAGGTTAGAATCTGTCCTTGACTTCTAAATGTAGTTTGAGTGATTTGAGCACAGTGTCGTGTGCATTTATTGTGTGTGTGTTTTCTGAAGGACTCATGATCTGGCTGACGCACTTGACTCAGCAGAATGTGATCTGGACAGTAACCAGGATGGTGTTATCCAGGTCCAAAACCTACCCCCACAACAGCGGGCCAAGTTATGGATGGTAGGTATACTATGTGTGTGTGTGTGTGTGTGTGTGTTTGTGTGTGTGTTTGAAGATAAAATGGCTTTACTAATCAGCCTGTGTAGCATCATGTGAAAATATTGAATTTCTGGATTATGAAAAAGCTTTGAAAAGATTGTACATGCTGCGTGTTGATGAGAGAGACAGAAACAGTGTTCATGCTTATGACAGACTACATAAGAGATCCATGCAGAGCTTTGTTTTAAAGGGTTTGCTTTAGAGTCAACGGGTCCCGAAGGGCTTTAGGGAGCCTCTGTATCGATTAGATGGCCATTAAGGAAACTGTAGTAGGCTTAAAGTGTAGGACCCTTTAAACGTACACATCATGGAGATGGCATTAGCTTATATCTCACAGTGTACTTTAGGAGGAACTGCAGTTGCTTTCATTGTGTTCCCTTTCCCATACTTTTTTCCCCCTAATTTTTTCCTAAGTTTTAGTTTCTGGCTCTGATGTTGAACGTGTCTGTGTTAACAGATTGCTTTGAACGTGTCTGGTAAAGGAGATAGTCTGTCCTCATGGGATGGGGCTTTGGACCTACCAGAACAGACGCTCATTCACAGCCGCAGTCAGCAGATCATTGGTGAATAACCTTTGCACACCTCACCTCATTTTCATTGTGCCATTTATGTGTAGTAATGCACTACACATTTATAGCATATCAGTTCTATGAATGTGGAGTCAGACACTCTACATTATAAGCCCACTGGTTATTCAAAACATTGTGTGACATTGTGCATTCCACACACATTTACCTGTTGGCAAGACTTTCCGTTTGTTTGTGTATTTATGCAGTTTTAAAACACATTTACTGCAGGTATGAGTTTAATTGTAAAGCATGTCTTGAAACTAAACAAATTATTCTGCAAATTATTTTTGGATCAGGAGTACCTTCCTTATCTGTTAAGACATATTATTTTGATGTAATGCATTTAGGCATTTTGTATAAAGAAGCTTCTTTGGAGAATTTTAGTAATGTGTTTAAAGTCTGCATGAAATTTTAACTGTTATGTAAGGCATGGTACAGATATTATTGTGAATTATTCATTCATGTATATTTCTTTATTTCTTTGGCCTCATAATGTATCATAAAATATCATAAGTCAGTCTTCCAGGGAAAGATACAGATCTCTGGTGACATGCTGGATTTCTCCAGTCATGTAATCTACTTACAGTAGACCACCCCTTCACAATCGACTACAAACTCTCATTAATTTTTGTGTGCAATGCCCACATCTCAAAATCCAATCAGTTTTTCCCCCTGCTTTTTATGATCTGTTACACTCAAATATATGTCACAATACAGAATGAAAGATCTGCCGCTATTAAAGTTTCATTGCGACTTACTTATATTTTAGATTTTCTGGATAAATTATTTAGTTAGTCATTTAATTAGTTTGTTTTTCCACCTCGGCCTTTCTGTAAAAATAGATGACATGGCAAGAACAGGGCATCAGGCAATATGCTGCTACTTGTACAAAAGCCGTAGCATACAGTGTTGTGTCATCAGCTTTATAAAAACTCAAAGAGCTCAAATGCAAACTGCCAGCTTTCATTTTCATTTACACTTAAAGAAATAAATAATGCTTTTGACAATTTTTAAATGGATGTACACTGAAATTAAGCCTCATACCAGTATTTAAGAAAAAATGGTTCTATTAGATGATCAGTCATGTCTTACAAGTTAATAAACCAACAGCACTATCTTGGAAGGATGCTCCCCGAGTCATGATAAGTCCCACACATTCCACGCAAGTTCTGTGTGCAAACCCATTATCTTAAACAATATACTAGGGAAAAATATGAAATAATGGGATTTTTTTTTTTTTGCATATAGATGAGCTAGGGTTACCAGTGGAGGAAGGGCTGGACCTGGTATCAGATGTGGAGTCAGTGATCACCTTTTACTGCAAGTCCAGAAATGTCACCTTTACTCCAGATCTTAGTTGGCTACACATCCTCAAACCACAACTGGGCTTACAGCTGTCCCGCAAAGACCTCTACAACTGCTTCTACGCCATCATGAATAAATACATCCCACGGTAGGGGTGTTCATACGTCTGTGTGTTTTTCTCTACTTAAAAAAAAAAAAAAAACATTATAAAACCCCCAAATTACCTCAAAGCCAATTTTGAAAAAAAAAACAAAAACTAGTTTTTTTTTCCAAACTTGGTTTTGAGGTCATTTGATCAAAAGTAAAAAAAAAAAAAAAGAGATTAATTAATAAATAATTATAATAATTATAATGAAATGTTGCAGATAATGTAGCAAATATGAATCCTTGAAATGATTTAAACTGAAAGAAAGTTTCAGTTTGGTTAAAGGTGGTTAAATGCTGCTGAATGCCACCTCTTCAGAAGTTTTCTGTGGCCAAAAAGGTCAATTGAGACAATGTTAGGTTGGCAGAGGGGGAACATGCAGGCTTTATATATCAGTTTTCTTGATATAGGGTCATATTATTTACCTTTTGCAGAGACTGTGTTGCGAAGGGAAGACCATTTCACCTCTTCAGACTCCTGCTGCAGTACCATGAGCCTGAATTATGCTCATTCCTGGACACAAAAAAGATCACTCCTGACTTCTACGCCATCAACTGGGTCAGTCGATCTCTGGCCTGTTTGAATATTTTATAAAGTATTTGGCTTAGTACAGGGGTGTCCAATCCTGCTCCAACTTGCCACAACACATCTTCCTAGAATTTTCTAGTACAAGTTATTAAGACCTTGAATAGCTGGTTCAGGTGTGTTTGATTGAGGGTTGAAGCTTTTATTCTGCAGGACAGTGGCCATCCAGGAGCAGGATTGGAAACCCCTGGCTTAGTATATAAATTATACTTAACTTATACACACTATGGATCAATTCTGAAAAAGTGTTATGGTCATTTTCCTAAAATGAATCAAATAAGGCCGTTTACACTAGTGCGTTTTCGTTTTAAAACAGCGTTTTAAAATGAAAACCATCCTCGTCTGCACTGGCATTTTTACTGCGTTTCAGAATGGGGAATCTACCTATACATATCTATGGGTACAACAATGAGCATGATGTTATCGTTTACACGGTTGTCAAGGATATGCAGAGAGAATGTGGGCAGCCACGGCATCGTTTTCAAAAGTCTCCGTTTGGTCCGTTTACACTGAAAAGCAACCCCGGAGTTTTCAAACTGAAACGGGGTCTGCAGAGTTTTCAAAAGTCTCAGTTTTCGAGGGTTGAAAACGCCGGAGTAGTGTAAACGACAGGCGTAACCGTAGCAAAAGTTATGCGTTTTAAAATGAAAACGCACTAGTGTAAACGTAGCCTAAATTACTTGCAGCTGTATGCTAAAGAATCTTAAAAAAAAAAAAAAAATGTTATTGTCTCCTGCAGCTGGGCAGTCTCTTTTCTAGCAGCTGTCTCCCTGAGGTGTCACAGGCCTTATGGGATGTTTATCTCCAACAGACTGACCCTTTTCTCATCTTCTTCCTCATGCTCATCATCCTTGTCAATGCCAAGTATGTGACAGTTCAGACTGTTCAGTGAACTTAACTGATTAATGAACTGCACCAAGGCAGTTTTACTTTCCTGTTTAAGAGATCAAGCAAAAACACGTTTTTCTTTGTTTTCTAATGTCCAGAGATGGCATCTTTATCCATGAAGGAGAAAGCAAAGAGGAAATTATCAGTAAATTCTTTCATGCGTTATTTATAAAAAAAAAAATACATTACAAAAATCTGTTGCATTGTCCTGTATGACCAAAGTGAACAGCTGTAATTATGTTTTTCCTTTTTCCCAGGTAAGCTGAAGCATTCACCAGAATTCCTAGATGTAGAGGACCTTGAAGACTTGTTTTCTTTAGCACAGTATTACAACAGCAAGACGCCTCTATCACTTAGAAAGGTAAGCATTATATCTGTGCTCTTTGGGCTGCGTATTACCAACTTCCTCTCAATATGATACACATCACAATAACAGTTTAGCAGGTATCACATGCTCATTTATCTGGTTTGTGTGTGCAGGAGAACCATAATCTGTTTGGCAGCAGTCTGGTGGCTCTGAAGGAAGAAGACATGGACCTGAGTCAGGCTCTCTGTTTGCCTGTATCAGTCCCTGAGATCCTGCAAGCCAACCAGCTACAACCCGTGAGTTCCCACTCTCCAAGATAATGGTCCAAGACATCTCCACATCATCTTTCATATTTATTAATGTTGATGATCAGGGCTCAAAATTAAAGGGGTAGTTCACCTAGAATTGTTTTTCATTTACTCGCCCTCATAATCTTTGTAAACCAATAAGACTTTGTTCATGTTCAGTAGAAGTGGAGATATTTGTAATGTTATCTCGCTGTTCGCCAAAAAACATTGTAAAAGTAATCCAGTCAAATGGATTAATACAAGGAGACTGTTTTTTTTAAATTGTTTTAATTTTTTTTTAGCACATTTACAATATTTTAAGTCAAGCACACACTTTTGAGCTTCTGGCCACCATATTTTATGTGCTCAATATATGTAAATTGCAAATAAAAAAATAAATAAAAACTTTCAATTTACACTGTATCCGACCTTGAAAAACAAATCTTTTAAGTATATTATTTTATGACACCCATGCACAAGAAGCGCATGGTGAAGAGTTTCACCATGTGATGCCCTATTTCCAGTGATGTATGTTTTTGTGATTTGCATGCTGTTTAGGAGGGCGTGAGGTTTTTTGTAGTCGACTGCCGTCCTGCTGAGCAGTACAATGCTGGTCACCTCTCCACTGCCTTTCACCTGGACTCTGACCTGGTAAGAATTTTTGAAAGCATTTGTTCATAATTGTTCTAATAGAGATTGATTTCCTTTGGATCCACTTTGTTTCCTCAAAAATAATTTTTTTTAATATGTGTAGCTGCCTCATAGAGTACACAGCTCTATGCACCTCTGTGTCATTGACCCGTAAAACTGTAATGATATGGTATTGATTCACAGATGCTTCATAATCCCTCTGAGTTTGCCCTGTCAGTGAAGTCTCTTCTGGAGGCACAGAAGCAGTCTCTGGAATCAGGCTCTGTGGCAAGCGGAGAGCATCTGTGCTTCATGGGCAGTGGACGTGAAGAAGAGGACATGTACATGAACATGGTGCTTGCCCACTTTCTACAGGTCAGACCTGCATCTGCTGCTACATATTGAATTGTGCGGATTATTATTGAAAGCATTTCACAACTGTTAAGAATTAGGGCTGGGTAAAAAATATCTCGATTTTAATCGATTCTCATATTTACAGAAGGATATCGATTCTTAAATCCCAAGAATCGATTAGTCTAGCCTGTGTTCAGTTAATGGACGGAACATTGAAGGGCACCTCCCATCAGGGGTGTAGATTATGCGGTGGACGTGTCCACTTTTAATATCACGTAAATTCGTCCCCCGCACTTTTTCGGGCAAGTGTGTTCGCATAGAGGTTTTCAAGAGCAAGAACAGTATAGTCTGCATGATCTGATGTTTTATTCGGACCCAGATTAAGGCGAGATGAACATCGCGGAGCGCTAAACACTCCGTGCAGTGTATGTTTCATTCATACTCGAAGCCGGAGGGCGCGCTCGCGCAGAAAGTCGTACGAGGAAATGGTATAGATTTAAATTCAAAGAGACAGGATAGTCTGTGCATGATCTGATGTTTTATTCGGACCCAGAATAAGGCGAGATGAACATCGCGGAGCATTAAACACTCTGTGCAGAGTATGTTTCATTCATACTCGAAGCCGGAGGGCGCGCTCGCGCAGAAAGTCGTACGAGGAAATGGACAAAAGCGTCCAGCTATCGCTGTATGAAAACCTTTTTTTTCCACAGAAAAACAGAAACGTTTGGAAACATGAAGATTTAAATTCTGTCCATTGTATTGCAGTATTCAAACAATAAATGCCGTTTTGGCGCTATTTAATGTTAAGTGACAGATCGCTGTAGCGCCTCAGTTACACAGACGTCTGATCATCTAACTGTAGAGAGGGGCATGGTGCTAAATATATGCACCATATAACATCATTATATTTTTTTCTGTTCTTCAATGTTTAATTTGTTTGAATAAATCCATCAAATTTTATGACAGCCATCATTTAAATGTTTATAGCCTATTTAAAAAAAAAAAACGAATTGAAGTAGAAATATTATGTAATAACTTTATTATTTTAAAAACTTAAGTGTAATTTTAGCAGTTGTGTAGCCTACAAATCAGTTTTAACCTTCAATATTATAGTAATGGAGCTAGTACTAACTGACTCTCATGTATATTTTACAGCATTAGTTGAGAGATTTTTTTTCCTTGAGAAAATT